GGTTGGTAGCATTCCTTCCCTTTTAATTTTATAACTCTTCTCTCAGCTTGAAACTACTTCTGAGTAAGTCAAATTCCTTCTTCTTAGTAGACGCTAAAATCTTTACATAACTGAAATTGGTAATTACCGAGTCTTTTTTAGCATCCTCTAAGAATACACTATTGGTACCAGTACACTAGCTGTCTGACAAATTTCTCTTCCCATAAGAACAATTCTCTTAGAAACAAAGTTCAAAATTCTAAACACATCAAATTCCAAACTACTTCCTTCTTTACTTCCTAAACTTAATATACAAACTGAAACTAGCAAAGATCCCATTTTATACGAAATTCTTTTTCAATTACTCACAGCTCCCAAGAACCAATCAATTCAGAACTGCATTACCTAAAAAAACAAAAACTACTGAAGTCGGTGTTCCTAAAATGAGAGGAACATCATGTGACGACTACTGGGGAGTCCTGGTCTTAATAAGTATGTAACAAAGCCCCGATTTACACTCAAGTACTATGAAAAACGTCATCAGTTGTCAGCACAGAGCTTGGAAAAACACACCACACCTACCTCAACTCCCATGAGCATGCTAGCCTGCCTGCCTGCGCTGCAGTCAGTCTGCAGATCACCTTCCCTACACTGCCTCCTAGGAGTCAACCAGGACAGCCACCATGACTCACTCAAGAAGACAGAAGACTAACACTTCAAAACATTTTCAGGATGCCAGAAGCAGGGTGTCCATGTTCTTTTGGCTCTAAGTCCAGCTAATAAGATTTATGCTTAACTGACACATAAATTTCTACTTGCATTACTTCCTTAAAGAAGTTTTCAGAACAATTATCTATCTTAATGTTGAGGCACATTCTCTGAATTTTTTAGCAGAGCATGACACTACAGAATATTCCCTGTTCAGCTTCCTGGTTTCAAAACACATTTGCAGAGAAATAAGCCTGAGAAAGGCTGGCCATTCCACTCCTGATGCTGCCTTGAAGCATCTTCTTCCCACCTTCCCCAGACTTCACTGTCTTCGGATGACCCACTTTATATATGCTGTTGCTAGGAGGCAGGAGGATGTCATAGAAAAATGAAGCAAATACAGTCTTCCCTATATTTTAGGAAGATTATCACCTGTAATTATCTACAACATTGTAATTTATAATCAGAGATTTTCAAATTTTAGTTAAAAGATGTACTTAAGTATCTTTCAAGAAAATCAAAAGCAAAACAAAAACTTCACAGCAAGATTATAAAAAGAGGCCAATTTTAAATAAAGTCCATTACACAACACCTTAAAATTATTCATAACTTATCACATTTTTCTCTAACTGTTCATTCTAATTACATCTAAAACAGAGGTGCTGGTTAGAATATTAATCTTTCTGAGTCACTTGGTCTAGTTACTCTTGGGACTCTAGACTATTTCATTCCTATGTGATAAGTGTTTAGCAATATCTGCATTTAACCCCTTTAAACCCTTTTCCTCCTTTCTCCAGCCTTCGGCTCACTTCTCCCAGGAGACACGCCAGTTGAGGCTTCTCTCCTGCTGCGTGTGCTGCCGGGAGCCAGAGGAGCACACCCAGCCGGAGGCGGTCACCCTCCCAGCTGAGCAAGTTCACAGTGATTTTCAACCTGACAAGATCTGAGACCACCACAAGACAAGCCTCTGAGCACGCCTGTGAGATTCAAGACTCAGGTGACTGAAATAGGAAGATGTACTGTAAATGTGGTGACACCACTTCATGGGATAGAGCTCCAGGTTACATATTTACACACGCACACACACACACATATACACGTATAAAGAAAGAGAGCTTACAACCTTCATCCCTGTCTGCTTCCTAACTACGTGTGTAAGGTGACCAGCTGCTTCAAGCTCCTGCTAGGAACAGAGGAACCTTGCCCATTTCTCTTCACTAGCTCATTGTAACCACTGCTTTGATGTCTCCTGGGCACCAGCAACCTCTTTGCAGACTGCCTGAGCAATATGCACTACATGAGTTCTTCAGAAACTAAAAGGAGAAATCAAGCAAAAGGAGAAAGTTATACAAAAAAGGACAGAGGATGCCAGATGTTCTAAAATTGAAGCTCAATTTGAAATATTTATGTAGGATCCATGTCCAAAACTGAACCCTACAGACTAAACTGTCCCAAGGAAACATAACCACAACTGTTACCTCTGAGCAGCACAGGAATCTCTCTGAGCAGCACAGGGGAAGCACCAGTCCCGGCTCTCCTGTCTCACTGGTCTCTTTCTGCCTGTTTTCTCATTAGTGGAAGGGGATGGATACTGTCCAAGTCAGATGGTAAGAGTGTGTCCCAACTGTCAGCATTCTCTCATCCTCCTCCCACTGCTCTTTTTAAGAACACCTGTCTTACTACTTTCGTGAACGTGTGTGTGTGTGTGTGTGTGTGTGTGTGTGTGTGTGTGTGTGTGTG